TCAAAAATACAACGACATGAATGAAAGGGCCGCGTGCCGCAGGTATTCGTGACTATTTTGCACTCACACCACCTCGTTTCGTCACATCAACAACAGCGGCTCAAGACACACATCATTGGCATCACAGCGCAGGATAACCAGCCATTCCCCATGTAGACGCTCGATTTCACAAGCGCCCACTCAAGACAAACAGCAATAATTAGGAATCACAGCACTTCAGAACCAGCCATTCCCCAAGTAGACGCTCGATTTCCGAAGCAGCCGCTCACGACACCTCACAAGGCCCCCGCGCAGTGAACAAACACAGGAATCTTAAAATCGAAGCGACGCAAGCCGCCGCGTCAGCCCGGGTGGGGTTGGGGTCCAAGAATCTGCGAGCCTGGGAGCAAGAGCCAAAGAGCGGCACCAAGCGGCGCCTGCAGCGGGGAATGACCGGACAGGTCATGTGATCGTTGACGACTCGGGGTGTCGGGACGTTTACTCTTTCTGCAAGCTTGATTGACTTGTGCTCCCAGCATGCGCATTGCTGCCCAAGAGCTTTCCAAAGGCGCTCGCGCCGGCTACTCTCGAAGCCGTTCTCCAAACCGACGAACCTGCTGCTCCGGGTGGCTTCTGTTTCAACTTGGACTTGCCAAGCCTTTCACGAAACTATCCGTCGGCCTGCCGTCGGAATCCGCAGACTTGGAAGGTCCAGCATAGCAACTTTCATTGAGCACCTGGCAAGGCTACACTCGGCTTGACCTTATGGAGCGTTACTGTGCTAGTTGCCACGTGCCATGTTATATCCAAAGCCGGCTGCGACGGCAGGTACCACTCTACGAGTACAGGATACTACAGGCCGATGTGTCTTTTCATGCCGAGGCCACCGGCAGGTCTCGTGTCCAGGATGCGCAGCCCAGCCATCGATCAGGCCACCCATCCGATGGGGGCGCATTTCGTCCAAGGACACACTCGCTGTGCAGTCCTCCAGCACGAGCCCGTGCTCCTGGACAGCGTAATCTTTAATGTCGTTGCTCGCTTTGAATCCGTTTTGCCTGCTTCTGCCTTCATCAAGTGTGTGCTTCTTGGGGGCTCTAGATTGTGATTTCGGCCGGTATTCTGGGCTTTTTCAGTGCCCGCAAAACAAGTTGTTGTGGTTCGGATGCCTGGCCGCTTCACAGGACGGACGTTTTGATATGTTGCCTTTCCGGGCCAGTGCAAAACCTACAGCTTGAGCTTAGCCCTTGCTGTTCAAAGTCCGCCGATGAGCATCGGCAGCCCAAGCCGGCTCCGACTACTGCCACAACCACTGCCACTACCACCACCAGTACCACTGCCATTACCTCACTACCTCACTGCCTGACTGCCTCACTGCCTCACGACCCCACCACCTCACCACCTCACGACCACGACCACGACTCCTGCTGCTGCGCCTGCTACTGCAACTGTGACTGCGGCTGCGAAAGATACTGCTCAACGACTACTGGAACAACTACAACCACTATGAGTTTAATGCTGACTGGGGCGACAACTACGACAATGCGACCCGCTTTCAGTATCACAAGAACTAGCAGCTGCCCGCTCAGTCTTGTGCATTTCCTGTATACAAATCGGAGCAGCAATTCATGAGTGAGATGGTCTGTACTGAGCCCATACATCAACACGGCCGTGAAGTCAACAGAGCGAGATCTGCAATGTGAACTTAAGGCTCTGCCTCTCCAGCCTCGCGAAGCGCTGCGCCTGGATCGGGCCAAAGGACATCTGGCTGTGCGTTTGCCCGATCGACGCCGGGCCATCGCCGTGACTTGACAGCCAGGCAGCTGGCAATGGCCTCAGTCATTCATGCTCGCATAAGGGGCATGAAATCCCCGCAGGAAAGCTGATTGGGTTGTCTTTGAGCTTTGATAAGCGGAAACTGACTTTCTAAGAATGCCCGAGAGACGAAGACAACTGCATTGAAAGAACGCAAGCCGGCATGGACGAGCTGTGCAGGTGGGGAGCACTGGCAGTTGCGCAGTGGGCCTGCAACAACCTGCGCACTCATCGGAGTGCAACTGCTCGGCAACATAGGCTTCAGCCGTCGTCGTCCTCATCCTCGTCAAGGTTGCCCTCCGTGATCAGGGGCACCACGAAGAAGTCCACGAGGTCGTCCAGGTGGTCGAATATGTCGATGTCGCTCATCTTCATCTTGCACGTGAGAAATGACAAGGGGACAGAACCGAAGTTCCGGCTTGTGCCGCAGAAACAGATACTCCATATGCACGGATGGCATGCTGGTAATTAGAGCAGGTTGGGATGGCAACAATGAGCAGCCTGGCGGTTGTCAGGTTGTACCGCAAAAGCTCCTATGTACTTAGCAGATATGGATGGAATCACGCTGGTAAAGGCCATTGGGACCAACATGAAGACCGCTCGCAACGCCATCCCTGCTTCACCGATGCCATGTAAAAGAGGTGGCATGCTTTGGAATTGCAAAAGTCTGTATGTTGTTTGAGATATAATCGCAGATACCGTGTACTTTGACTCAAGCAAAAACATATTCTTTAAATCTGTTAGCAGGACAGGTGCGGGACGAGTCAGATTTTGAAATCATCTTCTACGCGACATAAGATGGCCAAGGAGCGATTGAGGGGCTGAGGGGTATTTCCATGGCATCTTCAGGATCCGACGAAACCTCATGAAGCCTGATGTTCTTCTCCTTGACGGAACATCTTGTTGGGAACGGGTTCCGCCCACGAACCCGTGGTTCTAGTTGTCAGGCAAGGCAGGTCAAAAGGGGAACAACAACTGGCATGAAATGGATACAACGGCATCTGGAACCCCGTGCCACGACACACATGTTTTGTCTTTGCAGCGCGCTCGCAAAGCTCCGCAAAGAAATCGCGAATGCCTGGACCGACCGCATTGGTGCATGATGAGTGCGTGCGACCGAATGGGATTCCTCTAAGCACAGCCCAGTGCTCTGTTGCAAACAGGAAGTTCCAGCAAGCAATCACGCGAGGTTAAATAGCATATAACCGGAAGCACATCGCAGCCTTGCTTGCAGGATACACCGGCACACTTTCAAAGCAAGCTCACGTCGCTGGCCTGGCGTGCTTCTTCGCGCAGAACCTCCAGGGTTGCTCTGCGTTCGCTGTCGAAGCTTCTTTCGGTGAGGACCTACTACAACCAAAGACTTCTCACACACTAGCACGGGGCGATGCCACGATCATCCAGTCTTCGGAGCCTATGTCCCTAAACCCCAAATAGCTTCCCTAAATTCCCTAACTTTCCAACATCCTAACTTCCCTAAATTCCCTAACTTCCCAACACCCTAACTTCGCTAAATTTCCTAACTTCCCTACAACCTAACCTTCCTAACTTCCCTAAACCCGAACATCCCGAAGCCCTATCTTCCCTAAACCCTAAACTCCCTAAACCCTCACCTCCCTGACTTCCCTAGTTCCCCCAACTTCCCATAACCCCTAAATTCCCTAAACCCGAACTTTCCGAAAATCGCGGCGCGGCGTGCGCCTGGTTTTGGATGCCCTAAACCCTAAACCCTAAACCCCAAACCCCAAACCCCCAAACCCTAAAACCCCAAACCCCCAAACCCCCGAACCCTAAAACCCTAAACCCTAAACCCTAAACCCCAAACCCCAAACCCCCAAACCCTAAACCCAAGCCTTCAGCTCTCGGGCTGCGTCCCACGCAGCTGGCGCTCGGCTTCGCACTCCGCGGCTTTCAGAATCTGGCCGCTAAGGGTTTAGGGATCAGGGGCTTAGGGCTTTTAGGGTTTAGGGTTTGGGGTTTAGGGTTTAGGGTTTACCTACAGTCTCCATTGCAGTTCTTTTTTTTGGTTTAACCAATTTTATGTTTAGGATTCTAAACAGTAACCCCAAAAAGGAACTACAATGGAGACTATAGGTAGGGTTTAGAGTCTTTAGGGTTTGGGGTTTAGGGCTTAGGGTTTTTAGGGTTTCGGGTTTAGGGATCAGGGGCTTAGGGTTTTGGGTTTATGGGTTTGTGGGGCTTATACGTTTTAGGGTTTAGGGGGTTTATACGGCTTATGGGTTTTAGGGTCTTGGGTTTATGGAGTTTATATGGCTTATAGGTTTTAGGGCTTAGGGTTTAGGGCTTATGGGGTTTATAGGGCTTTGGGTTCAGGGTTTACGGGGTTTATGGGGCTTATAGGTTTTAGGGTTTAGGGTTTTGGGTTTATGGGGTTTATAGGGGTTCGGGCTTATAGGGTTCATAGGGCTCATAGGGCTTAAGGTTTAGGTCAGGTGGAAGACTTCGGTCCAGGTGCTAGTATTGATTAATTAATGGGTCGCTGCCGTCATGCTAAGTTTAGGGTTTAGGGTTTAGGGTTTAGGGTTTAGGGTTTAGGGAGAACGGAGTTTTGGTAAATCTTATAGTACCATTAACGTTGTATTAAGGAACACCCAGGAAATTCCAGCTCATCCCACATCTCGACAACTTGCAGCGTGTGCAGCCCTGAACCGCTTCGCCAAAACAACGCTACCTTGCGAGAATATACTCTAAATCCTCAACCCTATAAATATAAACCCTAGACCGTCGGAAAGCCAAACTCAACGTAGCATGCTCCGGTCCTCCGCAGCTTGCTTTACACCGATCCTTACCGGCCTGGCAGATGGATGCCCAGGATGCATCTAGATTTCCGAGGTCTTAACAATTAGAAGAAGGTTTGGGGGGTGTTATACGATAGTGTACATTCAGGACTGGCAAGTATACCGACCCCTGCAGTGGATGCTCGTTCCTACGAGAGGACGTAGAAGCCTCGTGTTGGGTATCTCTGCCCTTTCTGCATCTTTCCTTCACGTGGCACCTCCGCGGTTAACCCCCAAGAGTCGTGCAAACCGCAAAAATCTGCTTGTAAACCCCCATTGAACCCTGCAGCCCCCGTAGACCCCTATGAACCTTTATAGAACCACTAGAAGCCCCTAAACCCTAAACCCAAAACCCTAATCCCTAACCCCTAAACCCAAAACCCAAAACCCTAAACACACCCCCAAGAGCCCGCGTGAGCATGGAGCCTTAGCTTTGCCCAATACCAGCGGCCGTAGTCGACGAAGAGCTCCTTCCCAGCAAATGCATGTGGGTGGTTTTCTAAATTAGGGTCCCCCTTTTAGGTCCCCAATACAGTACGGCACCCTTATAAAAAGGACCCCCAGAAGGGACCCTAATTTAGAGAACTACCCATGTAAGGGTTGTATTGTACGAGGTGTACCTAGACCCGAAAGTATGTAACATGATAGCCTTTCATAAGGGCTGAAGGACCTAGGGTCTACAGGGTTTATCAGGGTCGATACGATTTAGGCGTTTTTTTTATTTTTTATCACCTCTTTTCCTTCGCCTGAGGTCCGGAATACCATGTTGGTTGAGGCTTGGTGCCGGGAGCCTGAGGTTCCTACAGCGGGGATTCACCACCGAACTCACTACGCTCCCCCACAGTACTCTACTATGTAGACAAATACGGTATCTACTCATCTTCCACCTCAGACACTCTCGTCACACTGGTTATCACAGGGCATGTGCTGACCATGACCTGCCCAAGGACTTGCAGCCAAGCGACACGTTGCCAACAACACAGAAATGAAAAAACATCAGGAAGTAGCGTACAGTAACACTAGGTACGACTACAACCAGTCTCAGTCAACCTGGCATGCATGGCTGGTGACGCTCGGCTGTACACCAGCAAGCTCTCACAGAAGCGAGCTGTCTCCGACTTTGCACTGGTCCTTCTAATCCTAGACCGGACACCCGACTACAACGAAGTACCACTACCACTTAAACTAAGGTCGCAGCTCGAAGTTTATTGGTCAGCAAGCCCAAAAGGGAATCGCACGCGCAGCCACTACAGGGAGCTGGAACTCACACCAGCAGCATAAAAGGCCACATCGCTACAGAAAGCACAGCACTTGGCACTAAATAACAGTTCCTGACACAACTTAGCTCCCTTCCCGACACAGTCGGCACAGGATTTCGTATACGGCTGTATGACTACCCTGACCTGCCCAAGGCACCACAGGATTTAGGCGTTTAGGGTTTAGGGTCTATCGGGCTCATCTAATAAGGGTCCCTAACCCATGATGGCCTCGAATGGCTGCAATGCTGCAACACTGAATTCTTCTAGATGCAACACAGTAAGTTAAGTGGTGTCTTTATTGGCAAATCCTAACTGTACATACGCACATGCTTTGGTGCATGGTACACACACATATCTATCTATCTATATATATATATATACTGCCACATCTGCATACAATATATTCATGTGTTTGTATTCGCTAGTTTAGTACTTTGTATTCATAGTGATGCATATGTTTGCATCGATGCTTACATTCCCATTTTTGCCCTCCTATCAGCTGCTGTGCGAGTAACTACTCATGAACATCTGATACCAGATATGGCCACCGAAATAGCCGAAACCTACTGAAAATCATTATCCCAAGACTCGTGAAATAACCAGCCAACGCATGAAGAATCGAATTTTTCTGCCTCTCCAGCAGAGATCGGCCGGCAGGCTACCACCAAAGCTCGCCCCTCTCCAGGTCGCTTTTCGAAGCTTACATTGTAGACCTCGCTGCTAGCGGGTTTAGGATGGGCTAGGGCAGGGCCTTTGCGGGCTTGGTGCAATTGAGGGTGCGGGGAGCAGGCTGATCTCAGCAGCCAGAGATGTGTTGCAGGAAGCTTTGACCTCTAATTTTTCTGGACTTGCCAACCTCTTTGTCCAGGCTCGTGAGGGTCGGCTTAAGCGACAGTGGAAGGATCTTTCGAGTCTCTGCATCCAGAGATTTACTTGGCAAAACCATATCAAAACAGTGCTGAGCGCATGTCATGCCAGCACAGAGGTCCCGGCAGCGGGATTGCGACAGTCGTTGATGTACCGGGCAACCAGGGATGTGTCTTCACGCGCATCGATGTACTCCTCCCAACAGTGACGAAGTCTCCGCACTTCAAGCAACTGCTGCCCCGCAACTTGTAAACTCAAGGAGATAGTAATTTGGAGAATCGCCGTCCAAGTGGGACACCCGCTCATGTTCATCTAGCCCTTCAGCGGGAACCAACCGACGTGCACGCACAGAGATAAACAACAGGCTGACAGGCACGGCCACATTTGTCTAGTCTAATTACATACTTGCCTGTATACATACGGATGGACAGACAGACGGACAGACAGACAGACAGACAGACAGACCGATGGCCCACGCAAGGATGAACAGAGAGACAAACACACAGACACGCACACGCAAACAAAGACATACATATATATATATATATACACATACATACATACATACATACATACATACATACATACATACATACATACATACACACATACACAGATGAGCACGTAATAGGCGCATACCTAGACACTACGGACGTGCATACATGCACACGCATGCATACATCGATACATATACATACATACACGATCATACACATACGTAGGCAGGCGGGCAGGCAGTGAGACATAAAGCCTCACCTGCACATCTATGTGCATGCATCAGCTTATCTAAGCATGCCTGCCGTGTGTCTGTCTCTATGCATGTGCATGCATGTGTACATCCATTAACTCATTGTCGTTGTGTGCGTGGTTCTACAATACCATCATGGGACACAGCGGTTTGCAAAAGTGCGAACACTCCATCGGGGGCTTCCGAGAATATGGGGCCCTAGTATAGTACCCTAAACAGTAGGATCCTTATTATAGGGACCCCGAAATAAGGTACCCCTCATGATCGGAAACTCCCCATTGAAGCGGAGAGCTCCTGCGGCCCCACCCGCATGAGGTAGGACTTGTCTTCCAGGCGCATGGCCTGGCAAATTCGTGAGCTTGTTAGGCAAGTCCTGAACCTGCTCGACTAACCTGAACTTGTAGGATAGTGCCAGGCCACCTGACTGCTTTGATATTCCGGTAAGTTGTGGAGCAGTTAAGAGTTTCGGTGGGTTCGGGAAAGACCGGTGACTGGCAGCCTCGGCTGTAGCGAAGGTCCTCCCGCGGTATTCGCAAAGGACTTCACCCGGTTCCACGGCCTTTCGTCAGGTTCTTGCTTGGCTTCATGTCATGACATACACAATATGTTCTGCTCGCACAGTACACCCTGCATGTCAGAACAATGCAACAAGGTGCGCACCTGTTGACGTCGTGACTTCGTCGGCATCTTTTTCTCTTCGTTTGCATCATGGCGGTGATCGCCATTAACAATCGTCATGCTTGTTGTTGGAATTGCAATTTCCTATTTCATCCTCACAATGATGTTGGTGGTAGCGCGGGTGATGATGATCACAAACATGATCAGCACGTTAATCTTCTGATACGTTCGAACTCGCGCAGCTGAATTAGACTCGACATGCACGGTCATCGTTGTGATTGTCAGGCCTCTCTGATCTGAGGCCACAGAGGTGATTGATGCACTGCGCCGAATTGCATGCAGACTGCCTTCGGAACTTAACAGCGGCACTGAGCTGAGGCATCCCTGCCCGACACCTAAGCTCAACATCCTAAACTAAACCGAACAGCTAAAACAAGCACTACCACGATCCATAAGTATAACACGATTATAGTTGCAAGCAAGCTACAAGCAATTAGACATTGAAAGCTAGACTCTACACATTCCAAAAACCCTCACCCCAATTCCGATGCCTGCCTGCTGCACGAAGAGGCCCAGGCCCGCTTCCGCGCCTTAGGGCAAAAGACGCAGACACTGACAGACATATAGCAAGTGGATATGGATAGCCTAAACCCTAAACCCTAAACCCTAAACCCTAAACCGTGGATATTGCGAATTCAGCACTCTATTCCGAGCACTTACAACACAGTCCATAAGGCTCCCATCAAACCCTTCTGTTCATCCCGACTACATCCTTGTATGTACGATTAGATAGATAGACAGACAGATACACAGATAGATGGATAGATAGATAGATAGAAATGTAGACAGATAAACAGATAGATAGACAGAGAGATAGATCCAAAGAGAGAAAGAGTGGGCGATAAAGAGAGAGAGATAGATAGAGAGATAGAGAGGTAGAGAGAGATAGAAAGAAAGATAGAGAGATAGAGAGAGATAGAAAGACAGATAGAGAGATAGAGCGATATATAGATAGATAGATAGATAGATAGATAGATAGATGGATAGATGGATGGATAGATGGATGGAGAGAGAGCGAGAGAGATAGAGATAGAGAGGGAGAGAGAGCGACAAAGAGAGGGAGAGAGAGACAGAGAGATATAGATAGAGAGAGAGAGAGATAGAGATAGAGATAGAGATAGAGATAGAGATAGAGATAGAGATAGAGATAGAGATAGAGATAGAGATAGAGATAGAGATATAGAGATA